TTCTTCATTGTCACGTTATCATTTAATTCGAAGGTTGAGTATCGAGTTTTGTCGAATACGCAAACGATTCGAAGACGAAAGTTGTTCATGCTAGAGGTACAGAACACAGCCCAGCGTACGTCAGCTGTTTTGACCTATCGTATCGCAGAATCGATGAAGCGCGTCTGGATTGGAGACGTTAAAAATTACCGTAATCGGGGCTCTGATTTTCAGCTCTTGTTAATAATATCTACAGGTGTGAACGAACGGTTCATATCCCGCTTGCTTTCGGCAACAATGTCTACAGCAGGGGGTGTGAACGAACGAATTCATTTTGTTTATGCTCAACATATACACGGTGGAAACGATGTGACCTTGCACTCGATTATTTCTAAACTATACAAGACATCGAAAAACTGGTTACTGATCCTGAAAGTGCTTTATGAGCTTTAACAAACGGTTCACATTCAAGTCATACCCAGCAAGTCAGATTTTTTAGATCATATAGTTTGACTTAGCTCCTTCAAAGCGACTGTAGCGCTTTCAGGGGAGTTCATACATGTTCTGCGACATCTTCTGGGTACGCCCATGCAAGGGGTGATTCCATAATTTTGCTCGTAAAGCTGCCGGCGATGGCAATCTGCACGCGTTGGTGTCAATCAACAACAACCAGCATAAGTATATTTTTACTGAAATAAATATTCTGTTCTATTCTATAAAGATTAAGAGACCGACCTGTTTGTAAGTGATGTTGATGTCCTTAGACAGCTCCATGTCCTTGAACATGCCTTCTAGCTTGCAGGTGAAGCCACCGCCGCATTCCTGCTTGAGCTTGCTAAGCATGGACTTCTCTGCGTCCACGGAGGCCGACTTGCCAACCAGCAGCCTTTTGGCCAGGTCTTTCTTGTAAAACGCCTCGAACACGTCCTTGCCGTGGATGAAGCGGAACAGAACCATGATCTTGTCTAACAGTCGTTCTAGCTCCTCCTCTGTCGCTTCCTTGTTACCGGCCCGGAGTTTGACGTCCACGAATTTGGCTGCCGATTTACAAATACATGTTTTATTTAGACAAACACACCTTTTAGGCCCGGTTTCAAGTAAAGGAGTGGAAGCCCCCAGCCCAATCATCCAAATAAAATGGACAATCTATACCTATTTATAAAAGCGAAAGGTCACTGACTCACTAATAATGAAATCTTAGAAACTACAAGTGTTAGGAACTTAGGAGTCTTAAATTTTTCATGGGGGTTCTGGGGGCTCACTAAGACGGGATTTTACAAAATTCAACCCATAAGCGGGTAAAACGAGATCCACGCGTACAAAGTCGCGGGCGGCCGCTAGTATTTAATATTATAATCATGTTTGTACAAAGTAATGTAGATAAAAGTAAAACGCAAAAAAAACATCAAAGGAAAAGTTGTTTTCTAGTCTGAATTAGATTTTTTTTCCAGTCTAGTGTTGTGGGGGCTCCTCTTTTGTGGAGGCCCCAGGGTTGTTGCCCCGGTTGCCCTCCTCTAAATCTGGCCCTGTGTCTTTAGGTACGAGTGGCCTCATGTGCAGTGGCCTAATTCACATATCAAAACTTCAACGACATGCAAGCGATTTGATCGCTGGTGTCACTTTTCGTATTCACATATTAAATATCCCGATTTTGTTTTTATCTGCATTCGATCGATCCAATGTACTACATGATGCAATGAATAAATGAATTTGAATTTGAATCGTGCCTCCTCGGTATTCACTTATTATAGACCCAATACAATGAACTGTCCCACCTGTGACATTGACAGGGGGGCGCTATCGTCAATACCGGATCGCTGGTTCCGATTTTTGCCATGTTGGAAACCATATAGTTAAACGATGGTAGCGCCCCCCTGTCAATGAATTTGGTGGGACAGTTCAGTGTAAGTCATCTATACTTATTTTGTTAGTTTGGTGCCAGTGATTACACGTCATGTGAAAAATCACTGAGTTGCGATCCTATTGAGTAATCGTTTTATTGAAGTGACACGTGAATACGGATTTAGGACTGTTTTTCAATAGGACGACTTCTAAACGTCAACGACATTTTGACTATTTCAAAATACGTGAATGAGGGTTTTCGCGTATGAAAGATCCGCTAGATGACGGGACGTGGATGTGGGGTCTGACGGCTGCGTGATTGGTGGATTTTGACATATCTGTCAATGTCATATCAAAAATAACCAATCATGCAGCATTTGGACCTCGCGTCTACGTATTGCCATCTGGCGGATTTTTCATTTGCGAAAACCCTCATTGGGCTATAGGTACGTCACTCACCGATGAGCTCCGCGGGTTTGTTCTGGCGCTGGTTGATGAAGTGCTCGAAAGCCTCACGCACGGAGTACGTGAACTTCTCGTTGCGCTGGAAGCACGACGACACCACGTGGTCCAGCTGCTCCTTGAATTCCAGAAGCTCCGGTACCATCGTCTTGTCGCGCTCCGGCTCGATTACTATCGTGCGACCTTTTTTCTGGAGAAAAAAAAAAGTGTGAACAAACTGTTTGTTGTGAAAAATCTACAACGTTAAAATAACGGTATCGTTATAGCCAATGAGCTGCTGTCAAAGTGACTGTATGAGCCCTTGACTGGCCCATACATTAAACTGATGTATCTTGGGTGATCTTGATAATAACAACACTCGAAGACTTGAAATACTTGATTTACTGTCTCGACTTGATACAATGATGTAATGTGTGTGCACACTAATAAAGGCAGCAGTGAACTAATCGTAGATTTAAGAAAATAAATAATGTCAACTAGCAAAGCGTAAATAACATTTGGTTTTATGCTTGCTTGCAATAAACTGTACTTTGTACAGTGACATTGACATAATGTCAATGTCACACTAGAAACGTCAGAATAGAGGGACGCGCGCGCACAACCATGCTGTACAAATTTTTTGTGTACCGTGTACGAACGAGGTGTGTTTATAAGTAAAGTACCTGAGCCTATCAATAGATGGCGCTGTGCGGAGATAACTTGCGCGAGCGAAGTAATCTCATTGCTCCTTATAAAGGCAATTCGTATAGTATGAAATTGACTATCTTTGAAATAGTACACCATATCGTAGTAGTTATTATTAACGGCACATTTTGCCTGTGTTATCGCTAATTGATTAAGCTTCTGGAAGCTGCTTATTGTTCTCTGGACAACCGAGGTGACGTAGACGAGTTGATGTACGCGTTGAACTGGTTGCAGAGCTCCGCCAGGCCGTCCTTGACGCGGCTGTTAATTTATCGTGGGAGTTGCGCCGAATTTTGTCAGTGTGTGCGTGCGCGCCGCATATATTGGCGCGCTCACATACAAACCGCGCTCGGTACGTTTCTATGAAGATGACCTACTCATTTGTATTTACTCTGGTAGTGAGGTCGGCCAGCCGCGGCCCCGTCCATCAGTGTCGGCAGTGACGCTAGTGGCGGCTTAGCATGGGTTGGCACCCGGGACGATCCCCCCCCCCTGCCATAAGTCCAAAGGCACCCCTTGGAACCTCCCAGGATTTTAGGGTTACCTACCGATTCGAAGATTGAAAGACAATCTGACATAGACCGTAGACTTGTCATGCAGATGCGCCAGTGAGTACTAATCTGGGCGACTGTTGTCACCCCCTGATGCTTGGCACCCGGGGCGGACCGCCCTCCCCTTAGGCCTCAGCCACGAGTTTAGCGGGCAGCGGGGCGGGAGCGGCGGCGGCAGGATCTTATGCGTAAAATCAAATAGACCGGTTCTCGAAAACAACGGCGCGGGAGCGGGCAACGAGCGGGCAGCGCACTCCTTCTTTTGCCCACAATAAATCGAGCGTTAGGAATAAATTTGAATCGAAATAAAATTGTTGCCGTTGTTCAGACATTTCGTTTGCGAATAAAAACAAATATCTCGACAACACAACCCCGAACACAACACTTCGCCGCTAAAGCGCCGCGCGAGCTGCCC